ACCGTGGCTGACGCAAAGACTGGACCGGAACTCCTCAAATGACGCCGTAAGCAAGCCCTTGATCATGATATCGGCAAATTGTTGGGAAGTAGGGACGTGTAAAACACGAATATGGCCAAGGGCCACCTGTTCCCGAACAAAATGGATATCCAACTCAATATGCTTGGTCCGTCGATGATGCACCGGGTTAGCGAAGAGGTAGACCGCCGAGACCTTGTCGCAGTAGACCATCGTGGCACGATCAACAGGGAAAGAGAGCTCCTGAAGCAGCTGGCGAAGCCACGAACACTCGGCGACGCCGTTGGCCATCGCACGATACTCAGCCTCAGCACTGGAACGAGAGACCGTAGGCTGCCGCTTGGACGACCACGAGATAAGTGAGGGTCCAAGGTATACACAATAGCCCGAAGTGGAGCGACGAGTGTCAGGGCAGCCCGCCCAGTCTGCATCGGAGTAGGCGATGAGGGCGATGTCGGTGGAGGCATGAAGCGTGACGCCAAGATCCATAGTGCCACATATATAGCGGAGAATCCGCTTGACGGCAGCCCAGTGAACATCTCGAGGAGCATGCATATGAAGAAACACCTGCTGCACGGCATACTGGATCTCTGGTCGCGTCAGAGTGAGGTATTGGAGAGCACCAACGATAGAACGATAGAAAGCAGCATCCGAGGCAGGAGAACCATCTGTGGCACAAAGCTTGGCCTTTGTATCAACAGGCGTAGTGGCGGGCTTGCAGTTAAGCATGTCGGCGCGCTCCAGGAGCTCGTAAGCGTACTTCCGCTAATGAAGGAAGAAGCCATCCGGACGACGCACCACCTCGACACCAAGGAAGTAGTGCAAAGGACCCAAGCACTTGATGACGAACTCGGCGCGAAGACGAGCCATGAGCTGACTGAGGAGACCAATCGTACATGCCGTCAGCATGATGTCGTCGACATAGAGCAGCAAGTAGGCCGTGTCAGAGCCCTGATGGTAGACGAAGAGCGAGGCGTACGAGCGGGTAGAGCGGAACCTAAGCTGGTGGAGAAACGCCGCGATGCGCTGGTACCAAGCGCGCTGAGCCTTCTTGAGTCGTAAAAGG